CTGGTCACTTCATGATAAGTACAATTCGAGGGCAGCTGCTTTATTTAGGGATAAGGTACGCACCAACACTTGATTCTTTCAGTTGCACTCTTGTTTGTGAAGGGGCGTGTAGGAAGGGATGGGTTTGGTACGGTGCCAAACCCGTTTTCTGCCCAGTTGTTGTCGCTTACCCGTTTCAACAATTGGTGGAGAACGGGTTTGGCGCCGCGGAAAACGCATACAGCCTGCACTTCCCTTCGCCCGCAGCGAACAAGACGGCATATCCGTAGAATTTTCATGCAAATTCATCTGGTTCAGGTATCAACTGAAGCAGAAGGGAAGGAATGGTCAGTAGCAACATCGTCAGCGCGAAATTATGTCCCTTCTACGTTGAATGCTGGAAATAGACTAGGTGGTGATATTTCGCGGCACGCTTCAGGAACAAGTCTAGGATCATATTACGGAGGCAACAATGCAGCATATTCTGATGGAGTTGGATATAGTGCGGGTGGCGCTGCTCAAAGGTATCTTCATTCGTTCTGAAAAAGTTTCCCAGGAGAAAAATGGGTGCAAGAAGTCTTCCTGGAGTCCACAAGCGTAGAAGAGCTCTTGAAACTACTAGGCTGTAATTTAGTGACGACCGTTATCGAGGATTTGGGAATACAGTCGATCCTCCCAGCAACCAAGATGATCTCTTAAGTGGCGCCATGTCTTCTCTTTCAGTGGTAAGTGTATGTTCTCAGTGGCCCCATTTCTTCGCAAACTAATCGATCATTATAAGGGCTGGAATCTTATCTCGAAGGGAGCCTCACAAGCTGCAGCTATTGCCAAGGATGTTAGTATTCAAGCTACTCAAAAGGCAAGCGAACTCTCGGTAAGCTCGTACTTCTAGGTTTACTTTTTTTGCATCTTTTATCATATCTATCTGGTTGATCATTTCTAGAGGGTAATCAGAGAGTCAAAGGTCTTCACGGGTATGTGACAGGACCATCGTAACTCGCCGCACTGAAGGGCGTCGCGTGCGACGTCGCGCCCGCCAAGCATCATGTTTCTAGGTCGCAGGTGGCGCCAATCGAAAGTATAACCAAAAATAGACACAAATGTTCACGATGTCGTAGTTACACGAAATCTAGCCCTCCAGTCGGCAGGCTAATGCTAGCGAGAAAACGTCGCGCACATCGCCGCCCGCGACGGAGCGGCAAATTACGATACTCTTGACCGTCTCCAGGTTTTCATAGTACCGTTGTAGACTTGTAGCTTTTCATTTTTTGCATAAATTATTTCTAAGTTCTCTTTTTCTCTTTTACTCATTCCCCTTGACAAAATAGGCAGAAATGGTTGTCTACAAGGAAGATTACCTGAGTAGAAAGCACTCGACCTCACCTTTTCAGGCCCAAAACAGTGGTCTTCTCTCTGGGGTTGCAAGCAAAGCGACGGAGATTGGGCAGAAATCGTGGGGAGGTATTTCTCAGTTCGTCAAATCACCTTCATTACAAGGATTGGGAAACATCATTCCAAAAAGGTACTTTCAAATTCTGTTTGCGTCTCTTTTTTAGAACAAGGTTTATGTAAGTAGTGCGTGACGTGTTCTGTCTTTCAGAGGTTATGAAGACATGGCCTCACCCACAGACGAATCTTCTAGCGCCACTTTTAATGGCCAAGCAAACTACGATAGTGGAGGGTGAGGAATTGCGTGTTCATATCGATATTGGTCTAATAGTGAATGGAGACCTGTTCAGATTCAATACTGTCGAAAAGCCATCAGGACAAGCTGGTGATGCCTTCTTCTCCCTAGCAGGTAGCTAGTGTCCTCCTTGTACTCCTCCTAACCTACACTTTTTTTTCAAATCACTCACTTTGGCACAGCCCGCTTCTCACCATTCCTGTCTTCTCAGTTTCGCTAAACTTTGTCGGTGGCTTCTTTTGCATATTTTGAGTAAGCTAGGTCCGCTGATGTCCACAAAAGTTAAGATTTTGCCACACATTGCCACAAGTGCATTTTCAGTTCTGTGCTTAGATTCTAAACAATTAAAAGATATCTCTTCCATTTTAGAGACCGGTGTTGAGAAGAAGAAACAAGCAGCCGAGAAAAAGAAAATGTCTAGAACGCCCGCAACAAGTCCCGCAGCGCAGTCCCAAGTAGCAGAAGACGAGGACCTTTCTAGTAAGATGAAAAACTATCCAAGCTTCCCATCGATAAGAGAAAAAGTAAGATACTTCGTTTTTAGATTCTAAGGATACTTTGTTTTTAGATTCAACCATAACTCAATTCGAAGCATCATTCAACAAACCACGGCGTCCACCACCTGCAAAGACAACAACTATGAAAAAAGCAGAAAGTCAGTCCTCAAACAAAGCATGGGACGACGACGCTTGGGCTATCCTAAATAACTAATTTATTATCGATCCCCTTGGAAGAGTATTAACAGTAAGCAGGTTCATCGGGCAGTTTCGTCGGTGAGACATTTCTTTACCACGCATGATACAATACAATTCCTGGACGCTGTTCGGCTTGGAGGGGCATTTGCAATTTTGCTAGTCGTACCTTTTATTATTTCATGTTGATTAACAGGTGATCCATGAGCTTCTGTGACGCTGCTTTATGGTGCCAGCGAGCCACTTGGGTCACAAGAATTTGCAGGTTTTCACAGGTGGCATATACAAGCGTAGCCAAGTACCACTGTGTGCCCCCACCAGGCCGAACTGCACCCAAATCTTTTTCCTTGTCCACAATAGGAATTTGTTCCACAGTTAAGTATTCAGAATGTTAAATCAATTTTTTCGCGCCACTCATTTCGTTTCCAGTGAAGATACTATTGCATTGCTTAGTACAGCTAGAGGTTAACTAAAAGTCATCGTCGTGATTGAATGCCTTTCATTTCATTTCTTTTCTACTATGTTTTCCCAAAATGCATATCACTATTACAAAATTATAGTGCTGTTTCTGTTGCCCTTGAATTTTCAAATAACTGTTGGGTTTTCTCTTGGTTAGGGGGAGAAGGGATCTGGGGGTGGAGCGTAATAGTTGAAGGAGAGCTTTGACGCTAGCATGCAACTGTGAATCCCTATGTCGCCGTTACTTGTTGTCCTGCATGTACTAATCCATCTTGATGTTTTGTGTACAGAATAAATTCTTTATTAAATTTCTGGTTTTGTGGAAGGCTAGTCATCATTTTCAGCACCTTGTGAAGCTTCGCTGAATACCTCTGGTCTCACTTCTGATAGCGGCCGACCAAGTCGAGCTGCCAAGCTGGAATAGAGAATTAGGAATCTGAGCAGCTTTCACCAATTCGTAAGCCTTACCTCTATAGCGTTTGTAAGGCGGACTTCACTTGGTCTTCGCACAAATGATGTAACTCTTCCAAGGAATGAAGAACTGAGCCGTCCAATACGTCCTACCCTGAACCATTTACTCGATGGTTTTCATTAAAGACACTCAGCGATAAACTTAGAACAGGAAGACGCAACTTAGAGCAGGACGGTCGCCAGGTCACTTGGTGGGCCTTTGCTGCACCTCCCTCTTAGGCGGAACGCCCTTCACTGATGAACGATCATGACGTCTTCTCGGCTCCAAAATCCATCGCCTTTCAAAAACCCTTAAAGGCAGTTAAACACGCTTTGTCTGGGAATGGCGGTTTGTTTCTAGCGTTCAGAGTGAAGGGTGCGAGAGGGCTTGGCCACATCAGACTGCTCACACTTCCTACAATGACGCGCCGCTCGCGTTAGCTATTCCTGCCCATGCCTTCTCGAAAGTAGCTTATATTCTCAGTTACACATTTTAACGAAGACCTACAGTTCTGTTTCCCGGACGCGGATGTCAGGCGAGTGAGTTTTGGGGTGCTTAAAGCCGTTCCCTTCGGTTCGTGGAAGCGACAAAACAGTTGGTGTGCAAAGAAGATACAACGATAGCATACAGTCTTTGTCCGGCCTTGGGAAGGAGATTTGGATTTCAGGCCGCCGCCAAAACTCATCCCGGCTTCATCTGCAGCGAATGACTGTACGCAGAGCCTCTTCGAGGTATAAACCGATTGAAATAAAAGTTAATTTCTATCAAACCTATGGAGAAAGCCGACATTGTGCGGCGAGAGATCATAGTTGATGACGTGACTTAAACGAGGAAGATCGATTCCTCTGAAAGTGAGGTTGTTAAAAGAGAATACCAAAATCCACCACCGGTATTGTCTATCCTGTTGGGACCATTCCCAATATTTTTGAGAGCGGGTTCATAGTTCGTGATTCGATCGCTTGAATCGCGTGAAATCGCGCGGACTGCGATCGCCAAAGCATGGAAAGCTCCTGACTTTTTCCCCAATAGGTTACTCGAACGGCATTACAGTCGTGGTGGGCATTGTCCTACTTGCAGATGGGTGAATGTAATGGTATTGTAGAATCAGTTATTGCGAGCTCACCTGGCTGCTGCGTCAGTAGCGATGAAAATTCTTGCGCTATCGTCACCCATAGCATCACTAGGAGATTTCCACGAGTCGACCTTGTATGTCGAACGACTTTAACTGCTGATGGACAAAACCAGCCGTGGCACGATCCTGCAAAATAAAATGGTATGAAGGTGTTATCAAATACTGTTGTCAGGCAACTCACCTTGCAGAATACCATGGTCTGATTCAGAGCACCTCGTTTCATATCCTCGGATAGCAGTTCTGTTAATCGATCAATTTTATCCCTCTCTCGAACCCTAAATTAGTGCAGATCCTCGTTGTGATAGCTGGTATCCTCAGTGGGGGGGGGGGGTGGAGGACAATTCGTTCCGGTGGGGCAGCTGGTGGCCGCGAAGTTGCGCCTGCTGGATGTCTTGCCACACCCCTCCCTCCCTGAATGACAGAACCGTATTTCGGTCGCTGTGAGGTTAAGAAGTTCGCACGACTTGTTCAGATGAGTGTGAAAAGCTGGAGAGCCTAGGAAACAACAGACATTTCAAAACTGTTTTGTTATGGAGCTTACCTCCTTTGCCACCCCCCCCCCTTACCCCTTCTTCCTCGCTGGTGAGAGTCTCTGGGACTTTAGTGGTGAGAGTAAGTGGAGCGTTCTATCCTTATTCTCAGCCGTTCGCAGTAGTGACATAAAAGGGACTATTTTTGCTGAGACTACGCTGAAACGTTGCTTGGGCACAAAAGACATACCGTATGAATTTCATCTCGATATTGGACAACAATGAGTGCAATTTTGGACTCTTTATATATCGAAGAAACTGGCGATCAACGACACCATCAGCCAGACACTCTACTTCCTCTGGGCAGGTTGCAGAGCAGAAAATAACACGAGCACCTAAAGTATGCGAAACTTATATCGATGTGAATTGTCAGAAAAGGTGGGATCGTACCTGTAGTCACATTACCAGTATTCGTAACGGAATTAGCTATAGGTATCAGAGCAAATACTTCCTGTTAAAACTTCTGTAAAACTCTCATCCAAGATCATATCAGCTTCCTCCAATATTAACTGAAACAGATGCTAGATGCTTCATGGGAAAGATACATGGAGATCAAACGAGACTTACATGTTTTACATCAGCACCACAGCTCCTGTTATTTTGAAGGTGCTTTTGTACGAGACCTGGAGTCCCTACAAGGATATCCCAATCGCCCTGAAAACTTCGGACACTATCAAGATTCGATACAAATACGAAACACCGGATTTACTATTAAATTACTGCGGGATTCGACATTACTGGCGAGCCAGATCACTACAAGGTTGGGGAGGGAGGAAGAATCATACTAAGTGGTAGTGAGTCAGAGGATAGCGAAAAGATGGCGAAATGTATCTCATTCGATTCGGAATGTACTCCCCGAGTGAAATCTATGAAAGGGAGAGGCCACACTACCATATAAAAGCCATAAGTACAAAGACATACATGTTCATTTTGGAATGCCTAGTACACAAAAAGAGGGGTAGGAGGATCATGGGAAACTGTACATTTGTTTGATGACCGGTAAGGGAGGGGAAGGGGATCATAATCCTCTTGTCATCCCATTTTGCGCCTATTAATTAGCAACTCGGCGTAATTCGGCTTTTAGGGGGGGGGGGATGCACTTCGCAACTTTACTACTTCTCATCGACTCTGCTTCGCGAGAGACGGAACTGCGCCAGCCACTGCTCTAAGCGGTTGGGGGTCTTCTTTCCGACTATCTCGTGGAGTTTTACATAGATTTCATCATGTGTGGCACAACGTGAGGTGAGTTGGACTAATTTGAAAAGGAAGGGAAATCGTCAAAAACAGGGGCATCCTTGGCGCATTAATCAGGAAGTTGTTAGGTGTGGCAGCTATATTTGGACGCCTTTCGAGCGCTCCATCACTTTCATAGCTATTGGAACCCATCACTGGAGCCTAGCATAGCGCTTAGTAAATGAGAACACTTAGTAGCCGATTGATGTACTAAGTACGCGCTACGTTATATGAGCGGTGGACCTAAAGGTTTCTTGGAAACGGGGAAACAGTTGGAACGCTGGCGAATAAAGTTACCAACGAGAAGCACCGTGGCAGGACATAACAGTTTCAGGAGCAATTCGGCTTGGAGGAGACACCAAATGCTACTCAGCGAAGCTTTCAGACTTTTCTTCTGGAGACCTGGCAGCTTCTCTGACTTAAGTGGGTCACTTTGCCATTTCGTAGCGAGTATTTACAAGTGTTACACTTTTAGTAAGCATGTACTAGCAAAAGGAACTAGTGAGAGCGCCAAATAATCCACTCCAA